AAGTATTAAGTTTTAGAATATTGGTTCAGAGATACACGGGACCCATGTAAACAGTGTCTATTCACAAAATGTCTTCAGTATTAATAACTGGTAGTATTTACCTCTTATTTTTTTTGATTTTTCATTAGAAGAAGGAGGTGGAAGTAAGCCACAGTGAAGTGAAGATCCGGATTAGCCTGCAACAAAATAATGTAAAATTCTACCAATCCGATTGATGATTAGCATTATAACACGAACAAAGAATCAAAGAAAAACCATCAAGTAATACTAAATTGCAACTAATAAGTATGATGATTATAATTAAACCAATAAGTTTGATGAATAACATTATAAGATCGTGAATATTATCTCAATCTTTGAAAATTTCTATCAAATTATATTAAAAATTACCGGTTAAAAGGTTGTAGAGCGGCTTTACGTAGTTATTCTACGTTTTAATTAACATCTTACAATCTTTTTTGGGTTTTTTACTTTTTATAATTTTTTTGGATTTTGTATTTTTAAATTTTTTTGGATTTTGCATTTTAAATTGTTTTTGGATTTTGTATTTTTAAATTTTTTTGGTTTTTGTGTTTTTTGAATTGAATGGAAAGAAATAAACAAAGGGAAAATGATTGAAAAAGAAGCGAATGAAAAGAAGAAATGAAATAAATTTAATTGAAAATAGAATTTGCGGGGGCGAAATCTGCGGCATCAGGTAAATCTGCGGCAAGTAAATCTGCGGCAAGATGTTCCCTAAGCGGGCTGGTGTACTTGGGACGGGCCCTACTACCGTCATAAACAAGTTTAATCAGGTTATAGGCGTCCACAAGACACCTGCCCACAGAATTTGCTAAAAGTAAAGTCCAATTAGAGGGTTTGAGTTTCCCAATGTGTTCACGAATTTGCGAGTCCAAAATTTTTGAAAATTGATAGTGACCATAAGTTGACAAAATGTCTTGTTGAATTGCGGGAGGAAGGTCTGAAGCTGACCGTCATGTTGCAGTGCGGGGAGGTAACGGCAAAGCCTTACCCTTTTTCCCTTTCCTCCCTTTCCCTTTCCCAGCCTTTCTAGGATTCAAAATTGAATCTCTAGAAGTGTTCGAAGCGTCCGATTCCTCGTCAGAAGAGGTAGACGAGTTGGACGGGGTAGTTTTGCGGTGCTTTTTGCTTTTGCTTTTGCTTTTGCTTTTGATTTTTCAATTGTTTCGCAGTGGAAGCTATTAAAGTTCCACCACTTGTTTGGAACACGCTGGGCCGTTATAGTTTTGAGGGAAGATAGAAATATTTTACGTAAGTGCTAGAGAGTGCTAGAGTTATTATAATATTAGGACAGATGTCCAGTATAAAGAGGTGAGGTTCAGAGTAGGATATTGTCCAGTGTCCAATTCAGTGTAAGGTGCCTGTTGTAATAATGTCCTGTCAGTTCCTTTTTAGTTAGACTCAGTTTAGTGATGTTTTATTTAGTTTAGTTTAGTGATGTTTTATTTAGTTTAGTGATGTTATCCGAGTTGTGGTAGTTAGTGTAATTTTCGATAATACATTTTAACTGTTTCAGTAGAAAAATATTTGGTTTTCCTACTTTTAGTTTTATTAATTAAATTAATTTTTGATTAAATGAATACCGTTTTAGTGGAGATATTCGTTTGCCTCCAATTTTAGTATGTAAATAGCCCGTTTTAGTAAAAAAACTACGTTTGTACCTAATTTTAGTTCATAATTAATACCGTTTATATGGAAATATTCGTTTTTTCCAATTTTTTGTTTAAAATTATTCCCGTTTTAGTGGAAATATTCTATTCCCCCAACATTTATTTGGTTTTAGTAGAAAGATGCGTATTCCCCTAATTATAGTTTATAATTAATACCGTTTTAGTAGAAATATTCATTACCCCCTAATTTTAGTTTATAAATAATACCGTTTTAGTGGAAATATTCGTTTTCCTCCCATTTATAGATAAAATAATTACCGTTTTAGTGGAGATATTCGTTTGCCCCCAATTTTAGTTGTAGATAGGCCGTTTTAGTAAAAATATACGTTTGTCCCTAATTTCAGTTCACAATTAATACCGTTTATATCGAAATATTCGTTTTTTCCAAATTTTTGTCTTTTGCGGTTCAAAGCTTTGGTTGGATCGGACTTCAAGCCAAAAAGTGTGATGTCGGACTACGAACGGGCGATCCTGAACACCATGCAAACTGCCTTTCCGGAATCGAGAGTGTCTGGATGCAGATTTCACTTCAGCCAAGCAGGTAAATAATATTTTAACCATTTAATTGATTTTTAACACGTTATTTATCTTTGTTATTTACTTCCTTTTAGTTCTCCGGAAAGTGTGTGCTCGCAACAAGGAGGATTTCTATAAAAATGTTGAGTTTAGGAATGGATTGATCACTAGTTTAAATCTTAAACTAGTGATCAATCCAGCTATTACTCATTCGACTGCATCTTTTGATGCAGTTCAGCTACTCCAGTCCCTTTGTAAGGTGCTAGCAATGAGGACCGATCACCGATTGGTAAATCGGTCAGCTGTCTTCTCTAATGCTGCTCTGTGAGTTTAACCTTTGGGTAAGACCATAATAGTAAGAGCTACTGTGTGTATGTATGAAAGTATGTATGTGTGTGTATGTATCTGGGTGGGTTCATACATTTATGTGTGTCTATCGATGTATATATGTATGGCTGTATCTATGTGTGTATATGTTTGTGTGCATATGTACATGTGTGTCTTTCTCCGTAGAACCCTCAAACAGCTGACACGACACCGACCAACAATAAAGAGGACATTATCCCTACACCATACCCCAATATTAAAATAAACGACAGGACACCGAGCAACGAGGGAAGTAAAGAGGGATTTGTCTCCACACTATGCCCCGAAAGAAAAACTAGGGGGACAAGAATAAGGCGCGAAGTAACTTTCGCAGGGCTGCAAAGCAGCAACGAGAAAATAGGCTGTCGATTGCCGCCTTCTTGAAAGACGAAGGGTCAGCATCGGGAATTGATGTTCTGTAAAATTAGGTTTTGAAATATAATAGTGCTCCAAGAATCTATTTTTTAATGAATATTTTTTACTCGTTTCTTTAAATTTGTCTCTTCCAAACTCAGAACAACAATCATAAAACACCTGACAATTTTGTCAACCAATCGGCTTGCATTTAAGAATCACATAAAAATCTTCTTAAATTTTACTCAAAACGTATATTTTCTATTGTTTTCACTTTTCACCATTTTACCGCAACTTACGTCATACATGTGATGCACTTTAGTTTTTTAATTTGCACATGTTATGAATTCTCTTTTCTCGTTTAACAAAGCTATGGTAAGGTTAACTTTATCTTCTTTTGATTTATTATTACTTATTTTAATGAATAACAGCTCATAATTTTCGTATTTTATATTTTTTGTTTTGAAATTATTACTTAGCCATGTACTTAGCCTTATACTAGGACTCAATTATACATGTTTGGCTTTGACTTAGTATTATCTACCTATTTACATAACATAAATTCTTGTAAGTACAATGACTTCATATTATTATGTTCGAGTACTGAGTAGGTTATTAGGTTTTATATATATATATATTTTTTCCCCTTAAGGGTACATGTGTCGCGTTGTATTTGTATGGGTCATCTCAGATTTTAGCTTTCGTCTAATTAATTCCCAACACTTTTGAAGTCTGTGGTTGAACGTTGAAAATAGTCTACCACGATTTGTACTTAAAAAAAAATTAGTTACCAACAATGAAATAGCAACCATTTTCGTGACGGCTTTTGATGTCTGTAATTGAACGTCTGCATTCGAATTGAGGCTGGACGACACCGTTGAGGAGGTCGAAGCTCAGGCACTTGTTGCAATGGAGGTCGAGGAGGTGGAGGCTGCGATGCCGATGGAGGTCGAGCCTCGACAAGCACCAGAGGCTCAAGTGCAAGAACCAGTGGTTGGGCCAGCTCGCGTTCATAATGTTGTTGAAGTCCGGAACTACACCAGATATGAAATGGAAGGCTCCCCAACTATCTGGTTCGACGAGTTCTTATCTAAAGTGCCATCGCTACACGGTGAAAAGAGGTAATTTTTAATTGTTTAATAGGATACTTTTTTTAACTCGTGAAAATATTCACGATCTTAGAATTATTATCATTACCATTATCATGATTGTATCTTTACATTTAACGGGATCCCCATTTAACCCTGTTAGGTTCATGTGGTGGTACTGCAAGGATTAAGGAAGATACCCTGTACTTGGGGAAGGATCACTCATGTGGCGACATGAGTGATGAGTACCTTGTTTTGCAGGCCAAGGCACGGATAAAATTTCGAGCTGGTAATATTTGTTTTTGAATTTTTTATTAAGCCATATTTCGACTGAAAACATATGTCTGCCAATGTGAATAATCGAACTTTAACATTTTTAACTTAATTAAAATCTTTAATTAAAAATTCATTTTATTCTAGGGCAAACTACTGAACCGCTGAGGGACATTTAGAACTCTGTCCTTAGCCAGTCGACTGAGGCCGTGAAGAAAAACCTCAAGTTCGAGGCTGCCGAGTCCATCATGAGGAATAAGCGAAGGAAGAACCTGCCTCCGATTCCCAAGAATGAGGCAGAAATGAAGGAAGCTCTCGACAATGGACATCCGTTCGAAGACATCTACCAAGGTTTCGTCGAATTCGAAGATGGGAAGGTCGGATTCATTTTTGCAGACCCAAAACTTCTCGCTCTCGTTGAAAGTGAGTACGCTGCTTTAATTTGCGAGTTGTATTGATAGTATGTTCTATCAAATTTATCATTTTGGGTAATTTTAAATTGTTTTAAAGGGGTTAGATACAACAACTTTTTTATCTTTGTACAATTACTTTTAAGCAAATTTATAATTTTGGTATTTGTTTCAGAGACTCAAGAACTCTTCGTCGATGCCACCTTTAAAACACGGCCTCACCACGATATCTTTTCTCAACTGTTGAACATCATTGTCATCTACAAAGATTACTCTGACGCGGTGATGCATGTCTTAATGACATGCAAGGAGCAAGCGCTCTACGGCCAGATCATGGAGCGGTTCAAAGCTTTGGTTGGATCGGACTTCAAGCCAAAAAGTGTGATGTCGGACTACGAACGGGCGATCCTGAACACCATGCAAACTGCTTTTCCGGAATCGAGAGTGTCTGGATGCAGATTTCACTTCAGCCAAGCAGGTAAATAATATTTTAACCATTTAATTGATTTTTAACACGTTATTTATCTTTGTTATTTACTTCCTTTTAGTTCTCCGGAAAGTGTGTGCTCGCAACAAGGAGGATTTCTATAAAAATGTTGAGTTTAGGAATCTGATGCTCAAACACATGGCCCTAAGCACTCTACCGGCGAACCAAATGGTATCGGTATTCCAACAGCTGAAGCAAGAAGTGCTCCACTTACAACCACTCAGGCTCCGGAAGCAAGTCCAGATAATGCACAGGAATTACTTCTTAAAGTGGTGGTTCCAAGGCATCGGGCCCCAGCTGATCTCTACGTACGGTCTTGCACATAAGACCAACAACGTCTGCGAAAGTCTCCATAAGAAGTGAGTTATTTCTTAACAATATTTTTGAGTTAACAATGTGAAAATATTTACGATCTGGTTATTTTTGTTGTTCATTATTTATAACTTTTCCCAAATTTTTCAGAATGTCTTTGAAGCTGGCAAAGGCGTCGACAATCTGGAGATTCCTCTCAGATCTGAGGATGTTCGTCATCGAGCCAGCAAAGATCGATGTCCTACAGTTGGACAACAACATCAGGATCCGGAGGAACATCAAATTATCGAACCAGGTAGCGGCCAGAACTGTGAAGAATCAGGAGGAGCGACTGACCAATGGGGAAATCACCTCCATTTTATGGCCCACAGAGTGCCCACTCCGGTTCTTCCGAATGACCCAGATCAGGATGAGGCCGATGCAGAGCTGGCAGCAGAAATGGCCGCCGATGGCTACGCCGATGATGAGGATGGCGACGACGAAGTCTTTGACGAGTAAGTATACCAAGTATAATTTCAATCATTTTCTAGTAATTTCTATTTATAATACGATGTTGATTAATTTCATATGAAACTTATCTTTAAAATGTGTTCATTAATAACTTATCTTTAAAATGTGTTCAATACTTTCAGACACGGAGATGATGACGCATTCCTGGCAGCCGCAGGGCCACAGGCAGATGGACAACAGCAACCGGGTCACGCCGCCGCAGGTCCCGCCGCCGCAGGTCCAGCAGCAGAACCGTGTTGCATTTGCATGGCGAGCCCCAAGGACACAATACTACTGCCGTGCGGGCATGTCTGCGTGTGTTCAACATGTGCAGCCCTTCTCGAAGCCCAAGGAATTGACGATGAACCCGAGGGCGTCTATTTGCGCCCCGTATGTAGGACACGGGTTACTTCGCGACATCGGCTGTTCTACGCCTGAAAAAATTGACTGGAAATGGCTTTCTATTTCCTATTATTTTTACATCTACTTTCATTTTTCATGTATTTTTTCTATAGATTGACTAAATAAACAGATTGTACCTTTGATAACACTTTTATGATTTCCCGAGTTTTGTACATTTTGTACCGCGGGAGAAGAAGAAACTTTTGTAGGCTAACCCCTTGGGGGTCTCTGTAAAATACTTCATTTTTTGGAACCTCTTTGGGGTTCCTGTCTAGTGGTTATAGTACTCGCTTCTCACCCGGACGACCGGGGTTCGAGTCCTGACAGGGATTCGAAATTTAGGTTTTGTTTTTTGTTTAAAAAAACATTCATAAAGAGAGAGAGAGAAATGCCTTAAGGGACTAAGGGAATTAATGGGTCAGGATAAACTGGTCAGCTGATTTGTACAAACTCCCCCCAGCGAAAAATAGGCCGTTTCACAAGCGGTTGATCTGTTTTTGTTATTTTTCAAAACTCTGTGCTCAATCTGGGGGGAGTTATTCGTAACTCATATTTACTTTGGACAAGTGATAAGATGCTAACGCTAAATGTACGCCAGTTTATCCGCGTTATTCAGATGAACAGTTAACTATTTGTAGTTGAAGCTAAATTTTTTCACCATGAACATCTTTGGTCTTTGGCCTTTAGCATTTGGTCTTTGGCCAGTCATAAATACTACAGAAACAACAAGCATTGCACCGGACCCACTATTTGAAGACCTCCTGATTCAGGACAGGCTTGAAGTTCAAAAAGGACTGAACAACTTCACTACAGCTAACAGGCTTGAGATGGGACCCCTTGAGATCTGGCTTCAAGTCGACAGAGTACTGAAGAAGATTGAAAGGAAATTATACTTCAAAAGACGTATAGTTGCCAGAAAAATCAGACAAAATCGAAGAAACAAATCAGAACTTCACAAATGGCTTCTATTAGAAAGAGGATTGAAGGACACCGCCAATAAGATAGTCGACAAAAGACGTATTGTCTCAAGAAAAGTCAGACAAATGCAAGCCGGAAGAAAATAAGTTGTTCGTAAGCATAATAAGTATAACAAATGATTCATAACCATGTTTCTTTTATTTGTCTTTTATCATTGTGATAAAACCATTCATAAATTTTGCGATCTCAAGCTGGCATCGGCAGCAGAGTACCGGCCCCATGATTGAAAGGTCCTGGGTTCGAATCCGATGCCAGGTCGAGATTTTTTTATTTTTTTTTGGGTAATAAGAAGAATCCATATTTTGAGATTGTGAGAATATTCACGATCTTAAACCTTGTTCTTTTTTTGTAAGATGGCGTTGGAATTACTAAACCATTTTTAATTAAATAAAAACTACCGTAGAACGGGGTGACTTTGATACGCGGGGTGACTTTGATAATTTCGTCTGTTAGTTACAAAAATAATGATTTGAATGTGAAATTGCACAATTAAAGACTATTTTTTTTTTTATTCTTGTACATAATTATATTCTGCTAATATTTTTGAAATTTTAATGATTGTGAAGTAATTCTAAATTGTGCAAATGTGTTAGGAATAACATGACTATAACAAAAAAATAACGATTTTTACACGTACCAAAAAATGCCAAAAAATCTTGTGATTTTAATTTTTTTGAAATTTTTTTTTTCTAAAAATCTATACTTAGATGTTCAAGTGGTTTTTTCCAGTTATAATACCACTGGAATATACCACTCGTTTTTGGTTACTCTCAATCACATTTGCAGAAAAATCGGTGTAAATCAGGGTAAATCAGTACTTAATATTTATATGCAATTAGTATTATTTTTTTGTTAGTGTTATTTTATAACTGCTAATTACTATAACAATGTTATTGATATATTATTTTTCTGTGTTTAGCATATTAACATCAAATTTATTTTTGTTTTTTCTTTGTCCATTCTGTAGATATATTCGATAACCAAACTCGTTGTCTAAATTTATAATTTTACCAGTAAATCTTATAAGTTTATTAATATGTTGTGTTCTAATTTAGTAAAAGTCAAAAAAAAAGTATTAGCGACACTGTAAAGAGGGTTAAATCAATAAGCCATTAAGAAATAATAGACTATCAAAGTCACCCCAAACGACGGGGTGAGATTGATAACATTTTGGATTAAAAATATATATATTAAGACAAAAAAAAATTAAAAATATTTAATGGAATTATATAAAGGAAAGGTATAATGTTATAACGGGAAAAAAAAAATCAGAAAAAATTGTAATGAACCAGATTTATTTTGCAAAAATGCTCAAAATCCTAACAAAGTCACCCCGTTCTACGGTATTTAATTAAATATGGCCCCACTGTCAACATAACTTTTAGCAAATTATCCATTGTCCATACTATTAGTTACGAAGACCCTGCCTGTACTTTAAAGTAGTAATGTATGAAATGCATTCAAAATAGTAAAATACTCATTGGTTTAGTATTATACGTTATAGACGGTTAATGTGATTGTCATAGTTTAAAGTATCTTCCTTAATGGCGAATAGAACCTAATGGTTATTTGCTTATTTTTAACGGTCTCGACATTTGCCTGGACCTGTGCCATCAACCTTTGTCATTTTTATGATCTATCTCCAGAGGGCGCTATCTATGGACTTGTCCATGATCTTCAAGATCAACAGATGGCGCACATCGCAACTAATGAGATAGACCAAGTATTTATGTTTTCTTTGATAATCTACTGAATTTAAACTTGAATTAAATCAAATGAACTGACCATTAGTAATATTACAACAACGAGAAGTAACTTGCATCCAGGTAACAACAAAATGAAAGGCAAAAACAAACTGTAGCCAATCGATGGATGGATGCGTTATTGATAGCCTGGATAAAACTTTCAGACAACTTTGCCTCCGGGCCCTTACAAAGGTCAGTACCCAATGATGAACTGATGCGTTCGCGCAGGTTCAGACATTACCATTTTTTAGGGCTATTGAGGCGACGGCCCATTCATTTTATATACCGTATTATTGTAATACTATGTATGGTAATTCATATTCATAGTAAAACTACTCCGGATTGTGAGAATATTCACGATCCTAAACCTTTGTAAATAAATAAGAAGTGATTGACGGTTAAAACAAATGTTTTTATTTCAAAAAAAACCCTGACATTTCGACTCAAAATACGTACAGGCTAGTGGTTATAGTCGAAATTCGATGGTTTGGATGGTTTAATTAATTTTTCGACCGGTTTAATTAAATTCGACTCTTTTGATGACGCTGCCAAATTTTTATAGCCGTCGACTGGTTTATGTGGCAGCCACAGAGAATAGCCGAATTTTAATTTCGACTGGTTAACGGACTTGGACAATGTATTTTTGTCTTTCTACTTAAAATAGTGGCATACCCGTATAATAGCCGAAAACATTTTCGACTGTTTGTATTCTTTGCCAATACGTATTTCGATGATTTAACAAGTCCACCAATTCTTCAGAAAAAATTCGACTCAAATCAGGTATTTGTCATTCGTTTATTTAACAGATAGTGGCAGAATTCGACTAAAACACAGAAATTGACAAAATTTAGGGTATCGACTATTTTTTGGACTGTACAAAATTCGTGTATTAAACAGATTATGACAAAATTTAGAAGAATTCTACTATTATTAGTGGCAACCAGTGAATAATAGTAGACATGTTATTTTTTACAGTTAAAATGACTTTCGACTGGAATCGGAAAGTGTTTCTTCTATTTTCGGGTTTTGGGATCGACTAATCGTCGGAATTGGTCTTTCGGTTATTCGACGCGCTCCCGTAAACAGTAGAGTTAAAAATTTGATCAAAAATCTAGATGTTACTTTTGATAAAATTTTTTGAAAGTTTTTAAAATTTAGCTTAGGTAGTTTAATTATTCAAACAACAATGAATATAAATTACTAAAGTTCATTGTTTTTGAAAATCATATAAAACTTGTCTTTATGTATATATAAAATATATATATATTAACCATCTTGACCCTTATAAACAAATTTTAATACACGGAGTGTCATATAATGTTCACAAGGTATTGTTTTCTCAACGAAATTTTTTTATTTTTTATTTTGAATGACTATTTATACTTGTGCCACTCTTTTAAAGTTTAACTTTTTTACATTTAGAAATTTAACATAATTAAGATATATAAATAGATATATTCAGTTAAAACTTTAAATACTGCAACTTTAGCAAAACCGCAAGTTAAAGGATCGACAATAGGCTGCTCTGTCATAATAAAAGATAAAGTTAATTGTATTATTTGTAAATCTTTTGTGAAAATAAAATTTTTACTTGTTCTTTTGTTTTCATAAAAATGTTTTTTTCTCGTTCCTTTGTTTTCCGAATTTGCTTAAGAAATGTAAAATTTTTTAAAATTATTCGAGCTCAGGTATAAAACTTTGCCAAAATTTTATAGCTGAACTCAAATAGTAAAAAAAAAAATTAACGTTATTTAATTTTAGACATAGGAAAGGACTAAAATTTAAAAACATTTCGTTTTTTTATTTTTTAGTTATGCTAAAAAAATTCAGTTGAACATAGCCTTTTTACTAAAACGCAAAATTCGTTAATTTTCCAGAACGCGCATTAACCGCGTTGAGTATATAATTACCTCATTACAAAGAATGGAAGGTTTTTATCTATAACCGAATGGGCACATTATTATTATTATTTTTGTTAACTAGTTGTATTTTAAAAATACACAACAACTAAAAATTTTCCCAATGCACAGCAATTAAAAATTTGTTAGATTATACAATTCACCAACTGTAGTCCCTGACTATTTAATGCCAGGTTAGCTAATTATGCCATTATGTCGGAGAGCTTCATATAGCCATAGCCGTAAACTAAATATCACTCAACTCAATTTTAAACCTTCAACTCAATTTTAAAAAATTTTCTGAATTTGAATAAATAATGGTAGATACAAATCATTAAATTTTGGTAGATATATACCATTAAAGTTTGGTAGATATATTTCATTAACTATATCAAATCGATGTATTAATTTAAAAATTTTTAAAATCGCGTTGAGGGTGCGAAAATTCAAGTGATAGTAGATTTAATCTTTTTAGGCTTTGCGTTGAACAAATTCAACCAAGGCTTTATCAGTTTTTAAATAAGGAGTCCTAATAAACACTCTATTTGGACTCCTTATTTAAAAACTATATCACGCTCTTAAGCATTGGTTTATTCCTTGGTTTTTAATTTTGAAGAAAGCAATTCCAATGAGGGTTTGAATTACGTAATGAATAACACAGCATTTTGAAATGTTCAACTTAAGTAGCCAAGTGTTTTACCACTCGTATACCAAGTGTAGACAATTATTATTTACATTTAGACTATTGAGAAGTGTAGAGATTATTGTGAACTTTCGGAAAAAAATCAGACAATTAGCTAAAAATTAACAAATATGGAACTATTTCACATGCCAAGGTTTTGGCAAAAAAATTTCTCTACATGAAATTCAAGTTGCATTTTCCTAAAATCAGGCAGTCTAAACACTCAAAACAGGCAGGTAAAACACTCAAAGAGATCAATGGCTGACTACATTTCTTTCTACTGGGCATCGTGGTTTTCGATCTGCGACTTTTCTGATTATGCAACTATTAAAGTAAAACTTAGTTTCATAGGATTTTATACTTTATTATTTATTATTTATAAATAATATGCTTAAAATTAAAAATATATGTCATAAAAGTAACAAATTGTTTAAAAACAATGTTTTTTTACGATGAATTAATGATCATTATATGAATCGCTAACTTGAAAAAGGGGACATGTCACATTTTTTTCAAAACTGAGATTTTTATATAGTTATACAGTTTTATACTTTAAATAAAGTTTTTTGTTAGTTTCTGAAAGAAGTTTTTTTTTTGACATGTCCCCTTTTTCAAGTTTGCGATTCATATATAATGATCATTAATTGTTGACAAGCGCCGCAAGTTGTATGCTATATATCGCGAACGATTTTTCGTAAGAAAACGAGATTTTTCATAAGTAAAAAAAAACATGATGAAAAACAAAATGGCTTTAAAATGCGTTTAACAACAGTACCCCAAAAATTTCAAAAATTATTAATCAAGTTTTATGATTTGGATATTTTGTTTAATTACGGGATAGTATAGCTTACTTTCACAACCGATGTTCTCGAGGCAGCGCCTCCGTAATGACAGGTGGAGTTTTGCTAAACGTGGTCAATCAAGTATAAAAATTCAATAATGGATTAAAATTATATATGTTATAGTAAGTTTAACCATGCAAAATATTTCACCTTTGTTCTATTTTTATTAGCGGAACCTAGCTCGGATATTCTGTACGAGGCACATTTTTTTTGTTATTCCTATTTATGTGTAAGTTTGTCGGGAGAAAGGAACTTTCTTTTAGTCAATTTATTATTTGGAAAGACATTATTATAAAATGGTCAGAGAATCGCGGCATCTCTGGGTGGGAAATCTACCAGAGACAGTTCGCGAAGAACAAATTCAAGACTATTTTTCAAGGTGCATTTCTTTGCTCAACATTTTCTAAGAAAAGAAAGTTTAAAATATTTTATTTTCGTTGATGCTTTTTTTTTTAACAGACATTCTTATTTGAATATGCTGTTAAATTATTCTATGGGTTGGATTATGTTATTGCAAATTTAACAAGACAAGATTTTGCTTAACAGATTGCTTCTTGACCTATCTTATGAGGTTTTTAATGAAGTATAAAATTGAAGTTGGGAGTTATATTAATTGAATGTATTAATTTAGATATGGGCGAGTAGAGAAAGTAAAGCTTCTGGCTAAAACTAGTCCTGATGGTGGACGGGCTGCCTTTGTTGATTTTGTGGATATTCGTTCGGCAACAAAAGCCAACGAAGCACAAAATCGCATGGGAGAAAGAGATTTAAGAACTAATTACAATGAACCTGGAGCTAAAAACTTAATGGATTTTAGAGGTCATGCAATGCATAGAATTCACGGAACATACCCGTCTGGGTAAGTAAAACAAGAAATCTATTATCAAGTTAGCTAGCTATATACTCTTCTAGTTTTTATTTATTTTGGTGGTTTTGATTATTTAGTAAGTATGTCCAGAGATATGTTATAAAAAGTCTGTTTACCAATTTATTTTTTGAATGGATGTTGTTATGGATAATTTAATGAATGGTTTCTAAAAGTTACACCAAACATCAAATATTAATTTAATGAGAGTTTTAAAAATGGTTGAGTCATTATTGTTTAAATGATTTGGTTTTAATTTTTATTTATGGTTAAATATGGTTTTAAACATCATGGTTTATTGGTTTTTACTTAATTGAGTATTAGTTACTTTGTAGTTGCTTTGAAGCCAATAGCTTGTTAATATTTGAGCAATTTTATAGACTACATGTTTTATGCTTACTACATATATAAATATGATTTTATATATATTTATATATATATATAAAGATATATTTATATACTACATTTTTATTTATGTTTACACTAACAAAGTACTGTTCTACAATAGTTTTACATTGAAGTATTTTATGTTTACTAATTGTTTAATTTATAATGTTGTTGATAAAATCTTGGTTTAAAATGGAGTTATTTATTATTATGGAGAATTACTTAAAATCAATAGAGAATGTAGTTTAGTTAGGTATAATACTTGAGGCATCTTTGTTATGGTAAGTTAATTTGATTTTCTAAAATTATCAGAAATGATTTTGCAACAATTTTGATTCTGGTAGCTTAAAACATTTTAACTTTATTTATGTGTTTACTAAAAAAAGGTTACAAAATCAAACTTACAAATGTACCCATATAAATTAAAATGTTTATTTATTTCTTAAGTTATAGTTTATCATGATATGGTATAATTATGGTTTATCTTGAATTGAATAATATTTGACTGTGTTTTTATATAGTAGGTGTTGTGGCAAAATAAAGTTCTAAGAAACTACATAGAATAAAACAGCAATACTCGAAGAAAGGAAACAAATACTATACAAAATAGAATATCTAAATAAAATAAACAAAACAAAAAAAAAAAAGGAAATTATAAAAAGTAAAATTTTTTCAAAAAATTTAAATATTTTACTGTTTTCGTTTTTTTTTTTTTTTTTTTTTTTTTTTTAAGGGCGTTTGTTAATTTTCACTACTTTAGTTGATAAAAGTTGAGGAATAAAGCATGTTACAATATAAAGAAAACCAAAAGCATTTTTTGATATACAATTTATTAGTCAGTATATTAAAGAAATACTTTATTATTTGCGCTAAGCACTAGCATTACCCCATTAAAAAAAATTGCATTAAATTGTACGCAATTTTTTAGATAAAAATCTACATGAAATATATCCCATTGTGATTTGCTCTATAAAAATCACTTCGTAATTTATCGGATCAGCAATTTAAAAAAAAAAATTTACGCTATTTTTGTGGTTTTTTACAATTTGTCGGATTTATGGCAAATAGTTTTCATAATAGCAATTCGTCTATTGTAATACAAATAATTGATAGTTAATAAGAAGAGTTATTCCTATTTGCTATAATTAAATTGAATTTGGTGAAACCAATACGCAATTGTTAAATTTTTATTAGTTTTAAAGGATATAAAAGAAGGATACACTAAGATTAGTGTATCCTTCTTTTAATTATCATGGTATAAAAAGATTTTATAGCATAAAAGGAACAAATACAGTAAAAGGATGCAACTTGTTGAATAAATAGCCAAACGAGAATGAGTTTTGGTTTATTGTTAGTTTTGGATAGCTCATTTGAGCATTGACCATGATTGTATTTGTAGAAAAAAGAAAGAAATGCAACTTTTTAACAATGGGAGAGTGGCTCAAGCTTGGCAGATAAAGCAGGTCTAATTACATTTACACTGTGCTTTTAGATTTTGTCTGAGAGTAAGAGGGTTGTTATTTGTCAATATAGGAATGCCAACAATATTGTAATATTTTTTTTCAGTAAATAAATGAGTTTTGTTGTCTAACAAAAATTGTGGATTTTAAGCCCAGAATTTAAATCTATAAGCCACTGCCAGTCTTAGGCTGTCACTGAAAAAAGATCAGATTAAAATTGGCTGCTTGTTCTAAGCAATTAAAAGTGAAATATTTTTTGTCAAGACAAGAGTATAAAATTGAGTCATCAGCAAATAGTGCCACTAGATTTCATTAAGATTGTTATTGTAGATAAGAAATAATACAGGAGTAATTATAGAACCTTGTGTTACTTTTAAAGTTACTTGAAATAAAGAAGAGGGTGGGCCTTCAAGAATAACTTTACTACTGCAGTTAAAAAGAAATAATTTAATAACCTTAGAACCTTTACATAGAAACTTATAAGAAATTAATAACTGAGTGAAGAGTAATTGTAGGATTCTGGCAGAGGTCAAAGTGTTTTTTAGATTTTGAAAAATTGGGACCACTTATTTAACACTTTTTAAAAATTTATCAAAAATTGAAGAGAGTTCTGTAGAACACTTTTTTAAGACTATGATGGAAATCTTATCTGAGGCACAAACTGTAGAAAGGGACGACTGAATAAGTGCAAATTTCATAAGTGCGAACTGGCATAAGTGCGAATGGTGTAGGTGCGAGCTGGCATAAGTGCGCCAAATAAAATTACAAACATTGGCATAAAGTAAGAATTGGCATAAGTGCAAATTGGCATAAGTGCGAAATGCTAATTTGAACTTATGCTAAAATTTGAACTTTTATTCGGCACACTTATGCCAGTTCGCACTTATACCAGTTTCTTTAACTGCTTTGTACTTATGCTAGTTCGCACTAAAACTAACCAAAAGTCTCTAGAACCTAATATCTGAGATAAGATACAAAATTTAGTAAACTGAGAATAGCAGAGATTTGCATCAGGCAGGACTTTATTTATACATTATTTAGACTTTATTTAACAAAATTTCTTATAGTTCTAGTGTACATAGTAAATTAGTTTCTTAATTATATGAACTGATAAAAATCGTGAATAAATTGCACATCAAAACTTTCAATTGTTGTAAAATTGTTATAAAAGATTTTTTTTCAACAACTCTAAAAAAAAAGAATAAAAAAGTTGTATAAAAATTTTATAAATTTTTTTTTTTTATTTACTTTTTTTAATTAATAAATTTTTTAGTTTATTATATTAAACTTGATATTTTGTTACAATTTTATTTCCTTATTTAAGAATTGTTTTTTTTTTTCTTAGTAAATGAGATTATCTTTTAGCCGCAAATTATTGAAACACCTTATAAGATGCGAACTGCTGTGGTCAGTCTAATAAAATTACTTTGAACGTTGACGAACAAAGCGTGCAACCGCACTCGCTTCCTGAGAAACCTTGTTATATGTAGTTTTTTTTATTTATATATTTATGTTTTTTTTTTTGTTTATTTCATTTACTTAACAAAACACTTTAAAGATTTAAAACTTTTTTTAAAACAATGTCTGTTTAAAACAATGGTTTAAAAATATAAAAATTATCTTTTTTTTTTTTTTTATAATATGTTATTATTTACTAGAATGTATTTGGAAACTTACTATTTTTAAATTAGTATAAAAAACACTATACTTAACAGTCTTGAAATTTAATGCCAGCTCACAAAAAAGCGCTGACAGGATGGTCATTTTTAAGTTAGCCTGCACAATTTGAGAAATTCATTTTTCTGCTATTAAAATGAAAATAAAAATAGCAAAAAAAATGGTTTGAATAAATTCTAGATAAAATAATTAAAAAAAACTAGTAAAAAAATGTTATTTTTCATAAAGGTTGTTCAAATGAACGAAAAACTTTAGATGTAATTTAAAACAAAATGCTTTTAGTTTTTTGGCAAGCCCTTTTATTATGCGCTCACCAAAGTATTTGTAGTCGTGTGGGCGAGCGTTAAGGCGCTGGTTAAACGAAGAAGACTGACTTTAAATTAAAAGGGCGTATTTATTTAACAATCATTAGAGTAAATTGTTACTTAATTTTAAAAAGTTTCCCATAATATTATAAAAACATTAGTCAAGATAAAAGATTTGAAGTTTATTATTCCAAACACATTTAAAAGCTTGTTTTAAATAATCTTAGCATTTTAGTTTTTTGAGTTTTTAATTTTTGTGTTTTAGTGTTAGTTAAGTTCTTTTTATTATCTCTTTCATTAAGACTTTATATATTAAGATTTACTTTTATTTTTTAGAGTATTTTTTAAAGTTTTTTTTTACTTAAGTCTAGATAAGTAATTTTTTAAATTAAGTCTTTTTTAATCGCACATTTTTGAAATGTTCAAAATTTCTACCTAGAAAATCACTGATCAATGTATGTATGTATGTATATATATATATATATATATATATATATATATATATATATATATATATATATATATATATATATATATATATATATATATATATATATATATATATATATATATATATATATATACAAGCCTTCCCAGGAAAGGCATGCGGTTTTTCGTCTTGTATTACCACAGGTGATTATATTATTTTAGAAAATGTGAACACGGCCGTTTGCAAGTTTTATAATGCTGAAAAAGTTTCAAAAACAAAAAAAACAAAACTAACAAAATAAAAAGAGATTGAAATAGAAAAAAAATTAAAACAAATTAATAATTTAAATAATTTGTGGTTTGAAGTCTACAATAAAAAGAATAATTTTTCTTTTCTTATTTTTTTTTTTTAAGAGCAAAAATAAAAATTGCAATGTGTTTGTAAAATTTATTTGTATAATTTTAATGTAACAACAAGGGTTGAATTAAACGAATGCAAAACGCAAAATCTGGAAAATATCTAGTATTCAAAATTTTAGTTTATACAAAACCGTGTTCCTTGTTTTTAAGGAGAGAATCAACTTAAATTTGTTAGCGAAAAAATAAAAAATAAAACAATAAACTTACGAATACAAAAATAATAACATTCTAGTAACTAACTGCATTACAAAAGTAATAACACTATAATAGTGTTATTTTATAACGCACTTATAACTTTTAAAATTTATTCTTTGCT